ATTTGATAATGGTCGAGATGGATCTGTTGAAATAAGATTCCATTTTATTAAATCAGAAATTTTTCCAAATCGATCAACAGGACAGCTTGTGAGAGTTATAGATGTGCAACTTTGGGTTGAATTGCTTGCGTATTGTAAACAGGTTTTTGATTGTTCATTGCGAATAAACTTGGCTAAAATATCAAAGGAAAAACAGTTAGTCAAAAAAAAAATTTCTGATGCAAAAAAAAGTTGAAAATTATATAGTTGTGAAGACCTACCTGCTTGTACTTTAGTATTCACATTTGTAAGCAACAGCAAAATAACGAAAGCTAATATAATAAAATCAAAGTTCCTGCTTTGTTCTCTCATTATTATTATTATTATTATTATTATAATTAGTTAAGTTAAAGTTTAAATATTAATGGTATCTATCTACAAAAAAATCTATTTTAAATAAAATCTATTTACAAAATAAATATATAATTAAGAGAAATCCAGTTCCCTTGTTATTTAATGAAAAAGGAAAATATAGTGTATAAACAAAAGCTAAGATTCGAACGACTATGGCACCCTTGGTTTATTATTATTAAGAAGAGTAAAAAATATCTTTTTTTTTACAATAGCTGTCCATTATATATACAATTTTCAGTGTAATTATGCATGGACTAATATGGAAATAAAGTTAATTTGTTAACTTATTTGTTTACTTCGGTTTTTTGTAATCTATAATTAAATAAGGAGGTGTTTGTCCTTTATTATTGTTTATTACAGTATTATTTATCAAAGACATTATCATAAAGACATTACATATATAGTAATGGTAGACAATGTTTATGTTTATCTCGTATATATATAGATGGTTGTCTAAATTGTTTTTAGAAAAAAAAGTCAATTTCGGCATCAATGTTAATATTATATCATTTGGTTCAAAAGTTTATAAATTTGGCAACCATAAATTCCGTAATCAGTTGTGGGTGTAACTATCATATGTAACAATTATATTATTTTGTATATTGTGTTTATATTGTTATATTAACGGTTATGAATTTCGTATTATTATTGTTGTTGCGCTGAATTGATTATTATTATTTTGTCCTATTAATTGAAGAGTTCTTTAGTAGGATTTATATTGAACGATTCTGTATTAGGATCCGGGATTTCCTTCATTAGATTACAACTGGTGGAGATGTTAATTGCTAGTCGAGCATATTAAGCACAAATTCCGCTCGAAATGCGCTTCAAACATGCTTTCAATTATGCTTTAAATATTACGTTATAAATAGTTTGATTTATTTATTAGCAGAGTATGATGCTCAAGAAAATTGCTTAAGAAAAAACTCTTAGAGTAATTGTAAAAACACTGTTGAAATGATGCAGCGTTTTATTTGTATATAATGATAAAAATGTTGGAGCTAAACCCGTTTGAGTAAATTTAGCATGTTTAAAAGAATATTTTGAATTTGGTTGCTTAAAAGCCTGTTGTTTTAAAAGAGTTCAATCCGCTTGAAATCTAAAACTGGATTGAGCCAAACCTAAGCTGAACTGACGAGCAATTTAACATCGCCATCATTTTAATCTAATACTTCACGTTCATCTTCCCCATTTTCATTTCTCGACCTTCTAACTCGCCAATCGCATTACAATTACTAATACCACATGTTTAACACCAACGATCTAAAATAAGGAAATAAATTTCCCGAATATAGATTTTTAAAAAGCCCCTACGAATAAGAATATATATATAAATTGATATAATAAAAAAAATACCATACTAATACTATACCATACCATACTACTATACTATATGTATACTTTATCATCAGGAAATGCAAACTTACGCGGGATCAAAATTGACCAGCATTATACGGACGTTATCAGAATGCTGGTTAATTTTGGCCTGGTGTAAGTTTATGTAATAGTATTTTTAGGTAACGACGGGAAAGTGTACCGAGAATGCGTTTTTCTAATTATATATGATATATGTATTCATTCTGCATCCATACAGTGGCCGACACCCATTCATAATTTCATAGATTTATTGTCTTATTTTAGTTATAAGCAAGCACATAATAATGACAATTTCAAACCCCGATTTGTTCGGAGCCTTAAGAAAAGGTAAGACAAAAAAGACAAGAATTAGTTAGCAGTAATAAACCAACAGAAAGTGAAAACTTTACCAAAAAGCTGTGTTTTGAATTGGAATTGAGTGGTTAACTTTGTGACAATATTTAACGTTGTTATGGTAATGGCAATGTAATCATATACTCGCAATAAACCAATCAGGTTTATTTATTTGAAATCTTTATAAAAATTTACAAATCTTAAATCTTGATATTTCTTTAATAAATCGCCTAATACTAATCCACCTCTTTCCCGA